TACTCAGTAAGTTCCAACCAAACTCCAGGGGTGCTCTACCACTGAGCTACATCCCTAGCCCTTTTTATTTTATTTTGAGACAGGGTTGCTACCTCAAACAGACAGGATTGCTAGTTGCTGGCCTCAAACTTGAGATCCTTGTGCTTCAGCCTCCTGAATCACTGGGATAATAGGCATCACTATCATGCCCAGCTATCATTTTGCTACAGAGTACAGCTTGCTCTCCTCCCCACTCTGCTGACTGGGGATTGAACCCAGGGTTTGCAAGTGCTCTACCACTGAGCTACATCTTCAGCCCTAATGTACTAAAATTTTTTCTATCTCTGGGCATATACTATTTTCTCCATTTGGAACATTAGGTCACCTGAGTCATTGGTTTTCCTTTGGAACATTACTGCAATTTATAATCAATCATGTATTTATTCCTGTGAGTATATGATTACAGCTGGCTTCTCCACTAGGCTGTAAGTTTGTTGAGGGCAAGAATGATGGCTACTGTATGTTCAGAACTTAGCAGAATGCTGCACACTTAATACATGAGCAGTAAATATTTGTTGAAGGAATGAATAAACTTTCAAATCATACAGGCTCATACGTTAAATTTCCTTCTCTCTTATAATCTGATAGTATAAGATCCCCACCTGTAGGCAGGTACCTCTCCTTAACACCATTCTCTTTGGCTAGAAGTGACCTTAAATGTCTAATCATGCTTTCTATCATCCATTCATTAAGGACATTCATAGAAAATTTCTCTTGAAGTCATTTTATTTTGTTCTGTTATTGTTTTTAGTATAATATATTTATGCTTATTACTTTCTCTGTGTTCTTTTTCATTTGTCCAGCAATTTAACTTCCCTAATCTTTAAAGAGATCTGTCCTCTGGATTGATCATGGACAAGGACTGACTTTCTGTCTGTTTTGTGCAGAAACACAAAAGTGAAGCATGGGTTTGGAGGTATAGCCCAGTAGTAGAGCACTTGCCTAACACATGTGAGGTCCTGGGTTTGATCACCAGCACCAAAAACAAAACAAAATAACAACCACCAAAAAAAAAAGAAGAAGAAGAAGAAGAAGAAGAAGAAGAAGAAGAAGAAGAAGAAGAAGAAGAAGGGTGAGGAGCACCAAAAACATACTTTTCTTCATGCTGATGCTCGGAAAAATATTGTGCACTAAAAGCAGAGGTTAACTGCACTCCTTGACCCTGCCACTCCAAAGCAGATATAAGTTAAAGAAATGGTACTTTTTATTGTGTCAGAGATTTCAACTTGGTCAATCTCCTGAACTTGTATGCCTATTTTATACTTTAATTGATTTTATGTATATGTCCATTTATGGAAAGAATCTATATTTTTATTAGTTCCTTTGAGAAGTCAGAGATATCAAAAAAAGTTCCCTGGCCTTTATATCCTGCTTTAGTTTTCCTTATGAGACCAAATCTGCAAGGCTGATTGTGTCCTTTCTGTAAACTACTTGATGTTATGATTTCAGGATGCATCTTGAAACTTGTTTTCAAGAGAATGTTGTAAACAACCTCTGAACTTAACAGACATTTTGAGCTACATGAATACTAAATGCACCATAAAATTTCCTGTTTTTAAAAAAGAGGCATCTGCAATCACTATGCAATGTACTCCTCTACTTGTGTACTACTTGTGTTTTAGTTATTCTTATTAATAGTTATTTCCCATTACTTTTCTGAAAGAGTTAAGTATGATCACCCTAACTTTAGGGATTGTGTCCACAGTGTTAACTGAGAAACCACCACCACACAATTTTTTAAATTCCAAACATTATTGAGAATAATACTTGACTTTATGGCCTAAAAAACTCAATGAGAATGTAAAGAAGAAACTGAAACACCATCATTCAACAAACTTTCAGTATGTATACTTATGTTTGTACATACCATGTCAGGATATACACATTTATTACAATGCTTTGGGAGTTTTTTTATAATCTCACCTTCAAAATTATTTGGTGTACACACACAAAATTAGTGGGTCTTCATTAACCAGGATTTCTTTTCTTTTCTTTTTTTTCCTCTTTTCCTGCCAGGAAGATATTTAAGATGTTTCTTCCTTTCCTTCCTTCCTTCCTTCCTTCCTTGTACTGTCCATGGTCAGTGGGAATCTACAATCATTGCAACTTGAATGGAGGAAACTCTTGTGTTAACAAATCACCAGAAAGAGAACTCCTGTGTTGTTTTTGTGTGTGTGCTGCATTTATGTTGTTGTTGTTGTTTTTTCCTTTAAGGATGATTAAGTAAGGCAACTAGTTTCCACCGGGTGGGGGGTGGGATGGATGTCCAGATTTGGCAAATTCATTATCTTTTTTGAACTTAGGCCCTAAGATGTTTTGGGGGACAATCTGACCCCTGCTGCCCCACTCAGGCACACACACTTTCCAAGATACGGATTTTCTAATAAAATCCTCTGAATTGCCAATATAGGAATTAAAGAAAGTATTGGTTTTTTTTTCTTAAGCGACAGACCTGCTAATTGCCTGAGAGGCAAACAGCACCCAGGCTGATAAGACCGGTGCCAAGGCTCTCAGGTGGGAATCCTGGCACAGACGGGACGCCGCTGGCGCAGACACTGTAGCTTGATGGAGCCAAGCCACTGAGTCTGTTTCCACCCCTGGATTATTTTCCTTGTTGAAGCCGCCTGCAGCTCAAAAAGACGTCTGAGCCAAGAGCACGTTTCAAGATCATGGCTCGAAGCTAGAACTCAGTTTCCCTCAAAGAATCACCGTCTACCTGAAGGACATAGCGAGGAAGTAACGAGGTACAGCCGCAGAGTTCTATGTAGACGGAACCTCTCAGGGTTGGTGGGGACTGGAAGGAACGAGTCCAGATCACGGGACGGTCCCTGGCAGTGGGCCAACGCCCAGCTGTCCTTGACCTCCTGGGCGCATGCTGGGGAAATGAAAGTAAAACCTGATCTGGTGCGGACTCAGCTGGAAGCTGGTGACAGGTAGGTTGCATCCTTAGAGACTGACAGCCCATCATCTTAGACAGGATCTGTGTGAAGAAGATCCTGGGTACGAAGTGAAAGGAAGAGACGGAAAATGGGAGAGAACAACAAAAACAATAGTTAGACTGGGGAGGCTTCTGGAAACAGCAAGCGAACAGTAATACCTGCTGTTTGCGGTGCAGACAGACCAGCCGCCTGCCGTGCCGGTCTCTGTGGTGACGGTCCTGAGGCCAGTCAGGCGACCTGAAACGCGCCAATTCGCAGCGCTGCACCCACCCCTCCAACCCTGAGCTTTCCAAGTCCTTACCAGAGCCAGAACCTGGAGTCTGTCCCCGGCTCTCAGTTGGAACTTACGTCTAGTGATTCCCTCTGGCAAGAGCCCTCATAATAACCTTGTCGCCGCCATTTCTTCCCCAGGTGCAATGTCCATGGTTCAGTCCTGAGAGTGAAAAGGAGGCTGAGCCAGTATGCTCAGCCCAGGAACATTGTGGACAAGGTCGGGGGATCCAGTTCCCTGAATCTCAGACTGATTATGGCAGGGGAGATGGGGAATTTGGAGATCTGCAGGGAACACATTCTAGATGCGGACACTAAAGAGAGACCGTGACTTGCCCATGTCCGAATTGTCAGGGAACAAGGACAAGAAGCCAGTTTAGTCAGTGGTCTCACACCCTGGGCCTCAATTTAGTTGCTGGACTTCAGGACATTTGGTTGGGGTTGTGAATGACAGGACCCCAGAGACCCACATGTAAAAAGTAGGGAGCCCCACGGGGCTGAGCCTTTCCTCCCTAATTTGGCCCCCAGAAAGTAAGCAAGAAAGTGAAGTGGAGAAGCTGGGAGGGAATAGCACACATGGGTGACAAACGTGTTTGAACTGATTCATCATGAATAGGCACATATCCTCGGGCGGGGGCTGGGACTCTTCTCTCCCCCTTGAAGAAATGGTGACCCCAGCCTAGAAGAATCCACGCCGCCGCGCCCCAAAACACCTTGCTTGCTTGCCGGATCGAGTTAGAACTCTTTTGCTTCCTACATTTAGTGTCGCTTTAGCCAATACACTTCCCCTCTCTGAACTTCAATTTTATTCACGGTGAAACGGGGAAAGTAATGCTACCTTCCTTCCCTAACTCAGGGGTTAGTATAAAGATCAAAGGAAATCGGAATGTGGCTGTGCTTTTAAACTGTAAAGCGATTAACATATGTGAAGCGTTAGTGTGCTCCCTGGCAGTCAATCCTCACGTTTACAATGGGTGGATGAAGGCAGCCAGGTTATAACCTTATAAGGCATAATTGGATTACAAAGGTGGGAGGGAGATAAAACGGTATCTTTCTTCCTAATTTTGGTTATTCCCGCATTTCCAAATAGGCATGTAAATTCTGAAATTTCGGATAACTACCCCCTCCAAATCCCAATTCTCAATTCAGCCCTTCCGAGCTTTGTCCTTATTGCGAAATCTCAGTAGCCCATCCAGAAATCTCCGGGCCTCAGCCGCTCTCGGGGGCTAGCGTCCCACTCATCTCTTCTGGGTTCTTTATCCGTACCCTGCCCCGAGGCTCCGCGGGAGTCTGGGGTCGAGTCTAGGTCAGGCGCTGAGCCGGCAGGGGGCGCGGTCCACTTGAAGCCACAGCTCCCCAGGTCCCGGGCTCAGGCCACGCTCACGGTCCTCCGGCTCTAGCTCCAGCAACTCGATGCCAGAAGGCCCCGCACTGAGTTGTACAGGTCCTGGGATAAGAACCCCACCCYCACTCCCCCCAAAAAGTTTTCCGGGTCTTCCTTCGCCCCTGCTTATCACCTGTACCCATGTCAGAGAATTAGGTTTGTGGCAGTTTCTCCACCAATCTCCTGGAGCCCATCTCTGAGCCCTCCGGGCACAAGCACCAGAGTCCCCCCAACCCCACACTCAAGGGAAAGCACTGCGCTGCGGCGCGCGCGCGGGAGGAAAGGGAGGGCGCGAGGGCAGAACAGGCCCCGCCCCCTCGGCTCTTATAAAGCGCAGGAACCAGTGCTGGCCACTCAGTGGTTTCTTGGTGACACTAGGCAGAACAGCTTCAGCCTTACCTCTTCTGGCTTCTCATCACAGTCTTGGACTTCGGTGTTTTGCTACTGCCAGACAGGGACGTCTCGAACCTTTCCCTCCAAGAACTTGGCAGATCACCCCTTCAGCAGGTAGGTGCCATAGGCCCAGCGAATTAAAGCGGGAGGGGGGAGCATTTGCCAAAACCCGAAACTGGGAGCGCTGGATGAGGAAAATAAGTCACTTTGGGTAATTCTCTGCGGGGTACACCCCGCACCTCCGAATCCCGCTCATGCACACAGATGGAGCTCCAGAGACCTAGTCTCCTCCGTTTCACAAATCAAGTTTCAAGCATTGAGCAGGGAACCTCTGGGAGCCTGGTGCTGTGCAGCTGCTTCCCCTGTGGGGCGGGTCATCGGCGGGTGCAAACGCCTCTGGCGTCGCTGAGCCCAGGGGAGATAAGCGTCTAAACCAAGCAGAACAAGGGGCTGAGACTGCCCGCTCCGGGGGCCCCCCGCCCTCCGGCTGTGCCCGGCCTGGGCGGTGCAGCAGACCAGGGTGCTCATGCTCGTCCTCTCTACTTTTCCAGTGTCTGTGCATTGCCAGAATGAAACTGTTTTCCGTCGCTCTGATGTTCCTGGGCTCACTCGCCTTCCTAGGCGCCGACACTGCTCGGCTCGACGTGGCATCGGAGTTCAGAAAGAAGTAAGTCCTGGCAGCGTCTTCCCCAGTCATGATACCTGGCAGACGAGGGAAAACTGATCTTTGGTCTCGCGGGGGTTAGAAGTGAGTGGGAGGGCTGAGGATGTAGTCCAGGGATAGGGAGCTTGCTTAGCATTCTCGAGGCCCTGGCCTGGATCTCTAGCACCGTAAATAATTTAAAAAATAAAAGAGTGAATGAGAATGAGTGGGGGCGGGAAGTCGCTTGAACTTACCCGAATTGCCTCTGATTGTGTTTTCTAGATGGAATAAGTGGGCTGTAAGTCGAGGAAAGAGGGAACTGCGAGTGTCCAGCAGCTACCCCACCGGGATTGCTGACGTGAAGGCCGAGCGTGTCCAGACTCTCATACGGCCCCAGGACGTGAAGGGCGCTTCTCACAGCCCTCAGATCAGGTAACTATGCCCGGTGCAGGGAGGGGGATGTGCCGGAGGAGTTATCCCTTTCCTCTGTCCTGGCCCTGGGCATACAGGGGCTGGATTTGCAGCTCGGATGTCGGAGCAATTTACAACTCCCACGGGTCCTAGAATAACTCTCGTTCCTGATCACTGGGGCCAAAGCCCTGTTTGATAGGGTCTCAAGTAGCCTTCTTTCCCGTTCCCAGCAGTCCGGACGCTGCCCGCATTCGAGTCAAGCGCTACCGCCAGAGTATGAATAACTTCCAGGGCCTCCGGAGCTTTGGCTGCCGTTTCGGGACCTGCACGGTGCAGAAGCTGGCACACCAGATCTACCAGTTCACAGACAAGGACAAGGACGGTGTCGCCCCCAGAAGCAAGATCAGCCCCCAAGGCTATGGCCGCCGGCGCCGTCGTTCCTTGCTCGAGGCGGGCCAGGGCCGGACTCTGGTGTCTTCTGAGCCACAGGCACGCGCATCTCGGGACTCCCGGGTGCACCAAGTGCTTTCCACTCTCCTTAGGATTTAGACTCCCGTGACAGCATCGAACAGTCGCGCAAGCGTCCCACTGGCGCCTCCCAGAGCAGAGGACTTCGGGGGAACAGGCTGAGACAGTCTTGCAGATACCTGGAGTCCAGAAGGCACCGTTCGGCCTCGAGCCCCGGCATTGCAGAGCCCCTTCTCCTTTGGGGCTGAGCGCTCTCTTCACCCCATGAGACTTGGGTGCCCAGGGAGGGCAGAGGAATCCGAGGGAGTGCCAGGCTCAGGGAGTGGAGAAACTAAGAAATAAATGCTGAGACCTTCGGAGCAGGGGTCTGAGCCACTGCTTTGCCCGCTCACAAACTTATTTCTCATGGGGTGTCACCCTTCGGGGCGCAAGCCCCAATATTACTTGAACTTTACAAACCTAGAGAGGAAAAGTGCAATGCGTGTTGTACATACAGAGGTAACTATCAATATTTAAGTTTGTTGCTGTCAAGATTTTTTTTTGTAACTTCAAATATATAGAGATATTTTTGTACGTTATATATTGTATTAAGGGCATTTTAAAGCAATTATATTGTCCCTTCCCCCTATTTTAAGACGTGAATGTCTCAGCGAGGTGTAATATTGTTTGGTTCGTGGACTGTGTGTGTGAGTGCGCGCGTGCATGTGTAAAATAGAGTGCCTGGTTACTGCCTGTGGAAGAAGGAAACATTGTGTCTCTATAATCTATTTACATAAAATGGGTGATACGCGAACTGCAAACCAATAAACTGTCTCAATGCTGATTCATTCTCGATTCACGCATCCAAGCAGGGAGGGTCCTGCTCCCGATTGCTCGGAAACTTGGGGTCTAGCCGTCAGTATTGGACAGGAGGGATGGAAGTGAAGGTGCGAGTTGACCGGTCAGAGCTCTGACCTAACAGAGCTTATTTGTCACGAACTCCATGAGGGGCGCGCAGAGCGCGTGTCCTGGGTGCGAATCAGTTTCGCGGAGACGCCCGAGGTCACCGCCTAGCGTGGCGGCCAGGAGCGGCTGGATAGGATGAGCCTTAGTGGAGAGGCGAGACTGGACTCCCCGTCTTGCGCAATCGAGGCCCAGTTTTATGGAATCGCTCATGAAACCCTGAACGAAAGCGTTCCTGGGATAGTTGGGTGTCTCGAGGCTTCTAGTGAGGAGTTTACTCCGGCAGCTGCGAGTGTCAAAATTAAAAGCTACACCAGCAAAATGTTCGTGTATCTCGGGAACTAGCACCCTAGTCCTCTCTCCGCTCTAGCTCCCAGCAAGCTGGTGGGCCCGTAAGCGAGCCTGTGGCGCCCCCTGCCGACCGCCTCGGATTGGCCCCAAGAGCCAAGAGGCAGTACGTGCGGTTTAATAAGTTCTCCTACGTGGGAGTCAGCACACAGCCTTAATGAAAGAGGAAAGAAGAAAAAAAAAAAGTTTGCAAATGCCAACCAGCCCCCTCCCCCTTCGACCTGCACCGCGGCTTGCTGTTCTGGGACAGTGACTCAGCGCCCACACGCTGCGCAGCGTGCAGCTGCTGGCCGCAGGCGGGCTGGACGGACGTGCCGCCGGAACCGTGCGCCTCGGACGGCCTGAGACCTTCATTGTTCCGCCTCCCCCTTGCAGCTCTCCTCTTCCTTCCTCCTACCGAAGCCTTTTTCACCGCCCCCCCCCTTCTCTCTGGCTTTTCTTTCTCTCTTTCCTTCCTTCCTGCTCCTTTCTTTATGCCTTATCATCTTAGAAGTTACCCCCAGTTCCGAGGCTAGATGCTAGACATTGAGTGACTAGGACAGGGGGCACAGGAACAGTTAGGACAGGAGGAGAAGGTAGGGGGAGGCAATGTCTATGGAAGACGCGTAACTGATTTTGATTTTCTTGCCCCGTTGTCTCAGCCAACATCCTGAAGACCCCATTCTGTCTTTTCTACAAAGTTTCTCTAGCCTTTCCACTTCAAAGTTTCAAAGGGATCTTAGAAATTTACCTGTTGAGGAAAGTCTAAAGGTGGTTTGGAGGATGGAAATGTTTCCAGAATGGCTTACCTCCCTTTGGGGCTTTTGCCTCAATTGTACATTATAGATCCCCTCTGAGAATGGCTCTTCCTTGCAGAAGCAGCTTGCATACACACATGAACATGTAGATCCTAGGACTGAGTGGACAGACAATCTGATTCTGAAGCAGTTTCTTTCTTTTCTTCCTTCCTCTCGTCCTCCTCCTTAACCTCCTCCTCCTCCTCCTCCTCCTCCTCCTCCTCCTCCTCCTCCTCCTCCTCTTCTTCTTCTTCTTCTTCAACTTTTATTTATTTATTTTTGACTGGGGATTGAACCCCAGGGTGCTCTATGCCCCCAGCCCATTTTATTTTTATTCTGAGATGGAGTCCCACACTAAGTTGATGAAGTTGGCTTTGAACTTGTGACCCTCCTTAGCCTCCAATTTACTGGAATTACAGACTTGCTGAGATTACACTGCAACTGGCTGCAGTTTCCGTTTAGAAGAAAGAAGACCCTAGAACATGAAATTTCTATACAAGGCCTCAGTTATTGGCACCTGGCTGTTGATGAGTGTCCATCTTATACAGATTATTATCCTGTTTGATCTTAACGGTTTTGTGAGGTTCACCAGAATTGAAGGGTTTATGAATGCAGCCACAGACTATTGTGTCCTTAAGGACCTCTTAATAAATATTCACTTGGAGAGAACTCTGTGCTAGGCACTGGGAAAGTACAGGATTATGAATGAAGGAGTGACTAAAAACACCATCAAGGAATTTCTGTGCCAGGAGTGAAATTGGGGTGGTCTGAAGGGGCTACAGAAACTCCAAAGAACTGTGAACACTTCAGCCTCACAGACAGTGGCTAAAGACCAAACACTTTCCCTCTTCCCTGAGCAGCCAGGGTTTGTCCCATCCCCACAGGGCCCTCCAGCCAAACCTCACATTGGCAGAGCTTCAGCCACCAGACCAAGCTGCCAAAGGCAGGTTGGGCACCAGCTTGGGGCTGTTGTAAGCGGGGAACAGGCATCTAGCCTTCCCTGAGGAGTCTTATGACTTCAGGGAATCTGAGGCGAGTACAGCTCAAATGGTGCAGCTCTGAGAAGGGAGAGGCAGCTGCTCAGCTGGAGTCCTTCCCACTGCTAATCCTGTGACTGCAGACATTTCTGAGGAGACAGAGACCCTCCTATGACCAGTCTGGTACATGGTCAGGATTAGCTGAAGGTCACCATCAAATCCTAGGCTTCTTTGTAAGCTATTCAGCAAGGCTTCTGGAGTTTTGTTTGTTTGTTTGTTGTTGTTGTTTTTTCCACAAGGTGCTGAGCTTATCAGGATAGGATCTCTTGATGCCAAGAACACATCATTTATCAACAGTGATGAGTCATTTGTGAGCTGATTCAACCTGTCCACAGCTGAGAAGTAGCTATTATCTGCAGCTACTGTTGGTGGCTGTGTGATGGTACTATCCATTTGTAATCAGCCAAAGGTACCACCCCGTTCCTCTAAGAGCTAAACAGCTAAGGTTGGAGGGGAGTGACAGAGGGGAATAGAAAGCAATTCTTTTTTTAGCATGAGCTTGGTGTCAGATATTCTCCTAAGCACTTTATATACCTTATCTTATTTAGTTCTCACAGCAGCCTTGTGAAGTAGGTGTTATTATCTCTGTTTGTAGATAAGGCAACTGAACCTCAGAGACATAAAGTAACTTAGCCAAGGTCACACAGTGACTAATAAATGGGGGAGCCTGGATGTGCACCCAGGTGCAAGGGTCTATTTCGATGCTCCAGAGCCATAAGGAGTAAAATGGAAAACGTTTAATATTTAGGTTCTCAAGCCAGATGTCCCCCTGAGTCCCCTACTACTGGGATGGTCTGGGTAGGTGATTTGCACCTGTGGTTCTATAGGGTTTACAGGAGGGCTGGTAGGACTGGGAGGAAGAATTGCTTCAACAGTAAGCTCAGTGCATACAGAATAAGTAAGTGAAGCGAGTTTTAAATTCTTGGTCCTGGTTTGAAGCAGGGATTATAACTCAGGAATAGCCTTTTCTCCCCCTGAGCTAAGCCACTGACCTCTTTGGTTTGTGTTGCCAAATATAGTTAGAACATACACTGAAGCCCTCAAGAGCTGGCTTTTGAGGGGAAGGCCTTCTGAGCTATTCCTGGCCAAATACTGTCCCACACTGTAGGTCTGAAGTCTCTGGAAGAACACCTGTGTCTACAAAGCTACAAATAGTGTTTCCACCCTGGAGGTGGGACCTTTTGTCTTGGCAACTGCTGCTCAAGGCAGTTTTTCAGAGGATGTTCTGAGCTGACTCTGAGAGTTATGAGTGCTGCCCCTCCTTTCCCCAGCTGAGGAGAGGGCCTTGTTATCCTGAGTCCCACAGAGGTTTCTGCCAAAGCTGGGTTGGAGGCTTGGTCTTCATTTGCATGGGGAGAAGGGTGAGGCTAGATAGCTATCTGGTGGTCCCACTGGTCTTGTTCCAGAGTTATTTTGGAACATTCTGGAAAAACAATAAAATGACTGTGGCCACACAGGCAGCTGATTTTAGTAGGTTATTGTACATTTATCCAACAGCAGGAAAGTAATTCTGAGTAGGAAGATGAATTTTTAAAAATAAAAAATACATTTTGCTTGTTATACAATATTTTTTAAGTGCAGCGACAACACTCACCTTTAATACCACTCTCAGAGATAACCACTATAAATATTCTACTATATACCCATTAGACATTTTAATACATTTTCTCTTCTTTAAAAAATGGAACTCGGAACCAGGCATGGTGGTGCATGACTATAATCCTAACACCAGCCACTTCGAAGGCCAAGGGAGGAGATTACAAATTAGAGGCCAGCCTGAGAAATTTAGCAAGACCTGAGTGGAGAGAGCTGAATTAAACACAGTTCTATTTAGGCAAGTTATTATTGTGAAAGTCTTCTTTCTGTTTTAATCATTTTATTTTTTCTTCTTTAATTCTCATTCCTCCTCTTCATAAGAATCCTTCCTAATATATTTGATAGCTATGCTAACTATGTGTATGGAATTTTGTAAAACCTGTATTGTTTCACAAGACATGTTGGTAACAAACAAATCTATTGTGTTGACATTTTTGTTGCTTTCTAATGTTCGCACTCTTACACACACACACACACACACACAMAAATTCTACCACATTTTACTCTTCTTGTTTTTTAATGAGGAACACTTGGGTTGCCTCTGCTACAAATAATGTGTAGATGAATGTCTAGTTTGGTGACCTCTATGGATCTGAATGAAAAGTTTTTGAAGAAATGCATCATGAACTTTCATCATTTGTGCAAAAGCCTTCCTCATAAGATGAGGCCAAATTGTGTGAGATTGTTTTTTAGGATGCCTGTGCCAGTTTGTATTCCCACCAGTAGCGCATGAACGTTCCCATCTCTCCACATCCTTGCCAACGTGGCAGGTGTAATGGTTAATTTTATGTGTCAACTTGACTGGGTTTAAAGATACCCAGATAGCTGGTAAAACATTATTTCTGGGTGTGTTTGTGAGGGTGTTTGTAGAGGAGATTAGCATTTGAATCAGCTATTAAAGAAGATCTGCCCTCGCCAGGCTTCATCCAATCTGCTGAGAGCTGGAATGGAACAATAAGATAGAGGAAAGGCCCATTCCCTCTCTCTTCTTAAATTGGAACATTTAACTTCTCCAGCCTATAGCCACTGGATCTAGTTCTAGGACCTTCAGACTCTAGGACTTACACTGGCAGCACCTCCCCCCACCCTGTCAGACTGGGAGTT